GTGTGTGTGTGTGTGTGTGTGTGTGTGTAAGTCTGTGTCTGTATGTGTGTGCCTGTGATATGCCATCCCTCTTATACTTCAAACAGATATAAATTTATGTATATCCAAGCACTTTTTTTTTTTTAATTTGTCTTCCTTTTTAAAATATCAAAAAAACTGCGAAAAAAATTGCGTTTTTTGCAAAAAAAAAAAAAAAGAAAGGCCAAAAAAACAAGAACAACTATCAACAACAGCAGCAATAGCAACAAAGAAAAAAAAAACGAAGAAAAAAAGCAATTAAAATTGGAGTGATTTGGCTTTGTCATATAAACATTTTGTTCCATTAAGCAACTAATATCTTCTTCCTTTTACCAAACAAAAAACAAAAAAAATAGAAAGAATAAAAAATAAAACTAAAAAAAAAAAAAAAGAAATAAAGAAGGAAAAAAAAAGGAAAAAAACCTAAAATTGGTTGCTTTCAAAAGATTTGAAAAAAATTAATTCTTGCTATCCTTTTGTCTGCATTCACATCTTTCATCCTTCGCGCTACTCTTCGTTTTACCCCCCTTCTAAATGCTTGCCCCCTTATAAACCTCATTTCCATCATTAGGATCCGATTTGGCTGGTAACAATTAAAAAAAAAAAAGAAAATTTGAAAAAAAAAGTATAACAAAAGCAAAAAAATGCGACATATAGAAGGATCAACTGTCAATACTGACTAAAATTAAACTTCTTATTTTCTTGTTGTATCAAAAAAAAAAAACATTGGCTTTATTTCTGTTCAAAGGAATATTAAACACAAGAAGTAGTTAGAACATACGACGGGAATTCCGGAATCGAATTCTTATACCCGGCCAAGTCGGCAACGTATTTGAAGTAGAAACTTTTCACCTTGAAATACAGATTCATATACGCCGACGATGCGGCGGTTTTGTTCTTGGTATGTTCTGAAAATATTAGCATTTTAAGAGCTTGAAAACCTATTGCTATTAGGCTGGGCATAGGATAAAACCCCAATCTTAAACTAAAACTTGACTAGCCAATTTAACTCAGCAGCTTCTTTTCTCTAACTTGATCATCCAGCAGTCAGTTAAAATAAAATAACCTGGATCAGTGTAACACAAATAAATAAAAATATCTAACTCAAAATAGCAGCAATTTGGTTCTTCTTTTTCTTCTGCATCAAAAAAAAAAATTAAATTGGATAAAACTAGAAGAATTTTTTTAACCGCAACATTGTACATTCTTTTAAGCAACCAGTTAGAAACAGCAACAACAACAACATCAAAAAAATCTTCAATTTTTGCTGCGAAAGAAACCGTTGAAGGCATCGATAAGGAAAGAGACAAAATTTATGAAAGTATAATTTGACTTTTAGGCCACCACGTACATTCACATCCACAAGTCCTTGGCAACCTACAAGTTTTACCCACTTTCATCCCCAGCATTTTTGCCGATATCAAACAAAAAAGAAAGGATTAAAGAGAAAACAAGACTCTAACTACACCAAGATAATAACTGTTTATAAATAAGTTTTAGTTTGTATTTATTCGAGAAAGAAAAAGATGAAAGGAAGAGCAGCGTTTCCAGTTTTTACCATCAATAGAAAACAGTCTTTGAAAAAGGTATGAGAAAAAAGCTGTTTATTTTCAGAGGGAAATACAATTCCATCTTTCCTCTTCTCGAAATAGAGAATAAAATTATTTCACTTTTTTTCTGTTCGTAAATTCACCAATTCCATGATATGTAATGAACTTTTCTCATAGTTTTCACATAACTCATTTAGTTAATCGCAAGCAAAAACAAATAAACAAAAGAGATGTAAAGAGTAAAGAAAATAACAGATAACTAAACCAAATATATAAATAAAAAATTAAATAAATAAGTCAAGAGGAAATGCATTGGTTAATGCTAACTGATAAAAAAGATTGATTAAGGCTATCAAAGATTACAGAAATTAGTAACAGATAAAGGTTCTTCCAAATTTATTTGAACAGTGTATCGTCTAGATGGAGGACGCTTTGACTATTATTGAGTTTGACTTAGCCCGGTAAATCTTAAAAAATAGGTATGTCTGAACAACCAAAAAAGCAACACTCAGTCAGCATAACAGCCAAATGAATAAGGTTTAGCAAAAAAAGCAATAATTTCTGTTGCTGAAACTCATAATTGCAATAAATGTTGTTTCCACTTGAAAATTAA